TGGATGTGTCCTGAGAAACAATGATCTCATGACTGTCTTCAGTGGGTACTCTTCTCTTTGAGTGTAATCTTTCTTCTCACTCTTGGTTTTTTCTGAAGGAATTTAATTCAACGCTTTGACTTGCAGGTATTAGTTTAAAAGATGCTACAGTATTTTTTAAAATGAGTTTTAACAGGCTGAAAACGCCTAATGCAGGCATAGCGTTCATTTCAATATTAGCCCTACTTATTTAAGGTAGCATTGGCCAGTCTTGAAAAAAGTTATGTCCGTGCTAACCTGCTAAATTCAATCTGTGTCATGTAATATCTCAAAGACTAGAAAATATTTAGCAAAGCTTGAATGTTACTTGTGCAAGCCTGTGGTTTACCTCTTCTGTTTACTTCTGCTGAGGAACTCTACATAGCCTATAACAATATCTCTGACCTGAGCCAACTGAGCTTGTTGGAACACCTTGAGGTTTTGGACTTGGAAGGGAACAATATCGAGGACATCAACCAGATGCTGTATCTGGGACTTTGTTACAAGCTGAGCAGCCTGACAGTGGAGGGCAACCTTATTTGTCTGAAGCCAAATGCAGAGTCTGCAGAGGTGAGAACTTGGTTTGAACTTGCTGTGTTAATGCTTGCAGTGCTTTTTTAGTTTGAGTTGGAAATGAGGAATGTTTCTGCATCTTCCTGTTGTATCGTTCTGAGCAATGACATGGGATGCCTTCTCCATCTTTCATTTCTATAGATTTTGAAAAGTCCTCTTGTGGGAATTGGCTCCCACATAAGCACAAATAAAATACAAGGAGAGCTAGGAGGAGTCAGGCCTGTTCCCGAACAATGTGTGTCTTCCAACCTGTGATAATAGGGTTAAACTAGAAATCAGCTATTCCTTCAAGGGTGCTTCCCACACATATTGCTTAGCACTCAACTGTGTGATATAGCATCTGCCAGCATTGCAAATTTCATTTCTTCTTGCTTTCTGTAATCAGCCTAGCCCCTTTCCTCAGTCACCAGTGATGAGAGGACAGGCGTTTCAGTTTTGTTTTGTTTTGTTTTTTTAATTCCCTCAGTTTTTAGCAAGAAAGTAATATTTTCTCAGTCCTCTTTCTGCCACTGTTCCCAGAGAGAGTTTTCTGTCTCCATACTAGCTAGCCAAAAGCCTGAGTCTCAGACTGTCCCAGTCCCCAGACAGCTTTGGCCTCCAATAGACAAACACCTGCGCTCTGTTTGTAACAGCACAAAATGGGATTCTAGAAGATTTGTGCCTTAGTGCTTTTCAGCTTCTTCATTATCTTCAAGAGCTTTCTTCTCAAAAACATTAATTTAGGAAGAAAAATAGTTTGGTTCCCTCAGGAACACGTTACCTCCCTTTCTGTTTGGGAATGGCACAGATGCAGGCTAGTGGGACAGCTTTTAGTTGTTATCTGGAAGCTCAGTGGCAGAAAATATTGAGGTTTGCTGCAGGATGCCAGCTCCTCCATCCCGTGTTTGAGAAGTCCATGGCAATGAAAATTGATTAGGCTGTAACAAAACCACTTTCCCTCTATAATGGAAGCAGTGTCTGCCATGGGCAAATTGAGCAGTCTGGAGAGCGTATTGCACGGGCCTTTCCCTGAGGTCCAGCCAGTGCCAAAACCGGGAGAATGCCGTTTATCATTTGGCCAGTAGGCACCCCTTCCCACTGCCTGCAGTGCAAGCAGGAACCTAAATAGAAGACCAAGCTCTCCTTCATCACAGTTCTGCAGCAAGGAGCAGGGACCCCAGCTGTATGGACCTTTCTAGCCTGTAGGGGTCTTCCCACAAGTTAGACAGTAGCTGGTATTTTTCTTTCCTGTGGGATGTGCCAGTTGTGGTGTTCCAGCTGGATAACTCTCTTCCCTCAAAGGACTTTGGCATTTCTGTTGGAGAGATCTCCATGCCAACAGCAGGTGCTCCAGGTTCACCACGTTCAAAAGTTGAACTCTCAAAAGAAGGATTCTTGTGATTACTAGGAAAGGCTATGTGGTAGGAATTGCTTGTTGCCCTTTCCCTTCAAAAGGTTACAATGAAATGACCAAAAAGAGCTTTGTAAAAGCTGAAGATACAAAATATATTGGTTTACCCTTTGCATACTGAAATGATAGAATCAGCTCTGTGAAGGTATTTTGGTAAGGACATGAGATAGTTTGTGTTACAAAGATGGAAACAAAATAGCGCATGATCTGCTTTGGGTTTCAGGGCACGCAACAAAAAAAAGTAAGAGCGATTTAATGAAGAGACTCAAAGCTATTATCTGCTTTACTCTGTTTCACTTTTGTCTGCTTCAAAGAACATGCTGGGGATATAAAAATAAGCATTTTGGCATCTACTGAAAAGATAAGCAGAGGAAAATTAGAGTTTAAGAAATTTGGTCAAATAAGACTGTTCCTCATTTTTTTTCACATAGCGTCAAATGCATATCATCAGATGGTAGTTTGTAACAGCGTATGCTATATATAATGGCTAAGGTGTTCTGGAAGGTTATAAGGCATACATGTACTCGCACATACGGACATAAATATGTAATATACAGTATTCTCCAAGGGTGGTACGTTTCCTAATGGCACCGTGAGGCACTGATAATGCAGAGGTAAGAAAGCAGACCAGGAGCTGGCAGGCACTGTGCTTCCACTGTCCCTTGTTCCATTGCTTCCCGCTTTATTTGAGTAGTCGTACCCATACAGTTCATTCCTATAAAAGGTTGGCTTTGATATGTCTCCTGGACTTAAACTTGAAAACTGAGGTGTTATCTCTAAAACTCAGTTGTGTAGTAGAAATGTGGATATTTTAAGTAGTCACACTTTTTAGATCCATGTGTTTGTTAGCCATGTTTGGATGTAATTGTTGGCCTGATCATATCCCTCAATAAAGGAAGCAGCACAAGGTAGTACTTCGGTTATCATAATTTTCCTCTCTGGAATCCAAAACAAAGTATTATATATTTTCTTTCCTGCTTTGAACTGATACGAGTGTAATTCAGCAACCACACTTGTAACTATTTATAACCAAAATGATTTCTCCATTGACATTTCATCCCTTACTGAAAATGCAATCATGAGAGGAAAAAACAAATATTCCTACAGCAAGGAAGCACTGCTTCAAGCAGACAAAGCATGCCTATTTACTGTTTTTACTCCCACTGAGACGAATACAGCGCTGTTTCTGGCACTTTCTTATCATAGTTTACTACTGCAAAAACTGTGCGGTATTTCCTGACAGGATAGGAAGTCTGTTTCTACTCCCTTGGTCGCTCAGGCAGGCTCAACAAAAATCATATCTTTGGAGGACGTAATTTTCACTTGGCATCTTGAATCCTTAAACATATTTGCAATAGGGTTATGTTACAGTTGCCCTTGATTTGTTTAGCTGAGGAAATCAGAATTTGTGGGATGCTGCAGTGTAACTGGACCTCAGAGAGGAGCAGTATGTGCCCTCCTGCCCCTTTTTATGCTGAATGGCTGCCTCTACTTTTTTGCAAGTAGTTGTGTTCAAATGCTGACCAGAATTTGCTGGGAGACTCTGTGCAGTGATATGTTTTCCCTTGTGCCGTAAAAGAGGCAAACTGTAAAGGAACTGCTCTTTCCCACCCAGTCCCTGTGTTGGGAAGCTGTTCAGCCCTGAGGTGGTTTCAGAGCCTGCCCTGCCCTTGGCTGCTCAGAGCTTCTCCTTGGGCCATGTCACTGTCTGGGTTTCAACTATAGTGTTCACAGTTCTTCAGCATGTAGAAAAATCACTAGAAATACAGGAAAGGGTACGTGTGGTCTTTGTTTGGTATACCCTAGGGGGCCAGCTCTTATCCTCAAGCTGCTTGTTGTGTTGTGCCCCGTACTACAGCTCTGTAAAAGTGTTCCTATTTATTTACTTTTTTATCTACAGAGTGGCCCAGCTGGATTTACTGCTCTTTCTTCAGGTTGCCTGCTTGCTTTCTGTAATTTGATTTTTAGATGAGCTCATCTTCCTCTGTTATCTAAACCAAAGGCAACAACCTGATGATAAATTCTGCAGCCTCTGTTGCAGTAATGTAACGCGAGCGTAACGTGAGACTTCTCTCCGACAGGGCATGGCTATAAATTGGCTGTAGCCCAGATACTGTTCAGAGCACACGTGGTACGTGGTGGCACGGTGATTGGTTGACTCCTTTTCTAATTTAAGATTAAAGGCGAAGTTAGAGAAATTTAGTGTCTGCCATTTCTTAACAGCCAACAAATATATGCTTTATTTGGTGATTTTTGCTCTCCCAGCATTGGTGCTGTATTATGTGGAGGGATGGAGTACATAACTGTCCGGCTACCACAGAAAGACTTCTGTTTGTGACAAATCCGTGCTGAATGAGGATTTAGCTTTCTGGGGTTTTCTACTATTGCATGTAATGTTGTAAGAAGCATAACATTTATCCGGCTCAAATAATTGATTTATAGGCATTTGGTAACGTTTAGGGAAGCCATCCATTCATATTCTGCCACTAGCTTTGCGTTCTTGCTTTATACTTCTTTAAGTAGAAAGAAATGCATGAGATCACCGTCACTGCTGCCCTGTTGTAATCTGAGACTATTTTAACTGAAAATATTTCCATTGCAAAACTGCAAGACCCAGTCTACCCTGAGGTATTGCTAAATTTTCTCAAAGTCAAAGGTACCACGTGGCGATATCTTTCTAATGCTGGAATCCTCCAAAATGGCCCAACTCACAGTATGCTTTGAGCGTAGTTATAACTGTTCTTGACTGACCTTGCTGCTCAGAGATCCCCAGCATTGAGAGGTGCTCGGGAATGATTTCATGTGTTATGCAGTTAGCTGCACCCTTTCTTTCCACGGTTGGTGTCCCAGTGAGCCCCTGTGCATTGGGAGTGATCATGGAGTTTTTTCTGTACTCAGAAGAAACCCAAGTACAGTCTGTTTTAGCATCCTGTGCACCTGTGGTTGGCATGCAGCTTCTTGCAGAGGAGATCGTGGTTTGAAAGAAATCATCTCTTCCAGTGTCATACAAAATCACACATGGAAATTCTGAAATCTGCCCCAGAAAATCAGTGCAGCTCATTCGCTCTAGCTTGTTTACTGATGTGCTCCCAAAACCAGGGAGAAGGGTTGGCCATGTGTTGTGGGTGCTCAGGCTTTCCATGGACATGAGTAGCTTTCTTCAGTTTCGTACTATATACGTAACAAAGATAAATACCAAGGTCATCAGTAAATAAACAGCAAAGGAGCCTTTGGGTGGGGATGGGTTTGTGCTACTCAAAGCACGTTCACGATCAGTTGGAGTAGAGATTACATGAGAAAGCAGGGTGAAAAGTAACTCCTGATTGTATTTCATTCTGTTGAATGAGGCGGTACAGGAGAGGAGAATACTCTTGGAGGTATTTCAAGTTATGTGGCAGTCATGCAAATTGAACGCTGCTGTATTGCTGGTGGAAGTCTGCAGTCTGTTGAATAAACTGTTCGAGTGACCACCCTCTCAATTTTTCCAGGGACCAGATTATAATTACAGAGTTGAAGTGAAAAAACTCATTCCCCACTTGGAATATTTGGATGAAATACCAGCCAGCCAAACTGTTATACCTCCTTCTAAGAAGATGAATAAGGACTGGCTAATCATCAAGGAATCCATCAAGGAAGGTGGTTTTGCTGGAGATATTTCATGGTTGGGTATGTCAAGTTTCCTATTGGGGTCAGTTTTTCATGTTGTGATGCGTGAATAAGATGAAGAGAAAGCAAGTCTCTTCAGAGCCAAACGTAATTATGGGGTGCAGGGAGAAGGACATCGTCTTCTTTAGTGAGTTCCAGCTTCCTCATTTCCCAAGTACAGTGCAGGAATCATCTTCCTTGTAACATGATTTCACTTCAGACCTTTGATCGACGTTCTGTGCGTTCACTCAGGCTGTGCTCTGCACTTCTTCCTAGGCTGTGCCTAAGCCTCATCGCCAGTGCGTGGCTCATCTGTGGCCCTAAGATGGTCAGTGGGCTCCCTTCTGTCCGAGATGTGCTCCGTCCACTTAAGTTCTAAAGATTTGTAACAGTGCCTTGTAAGCAAACCATGTAAGCTGCCCCTCCTCTGGGAAGCCTCTCCAGAGTGGACCAGGCTGTTAGTCAAGCCCTGACCTCATGGGTAGGCTTGCGCTGCTAAAGAAAGAGATCTGTGCTCAGCAAGGGGTTGCACACAGCTTTGCATGGGTTGGTGCTGATGTCAAAACTCAGGTGGTAGTGAGGGTGGACTCTGGTCTTTCTTGGCACCGTAACTCTGTGGCCACTCAGGCTGCCCTTGTAGCCAGCAAGGCCACTGAGCCCCTGAGCACTTGCCAAGTGCAAGGAGAGTCTCAGAGTCCTTATGGCCCTGCAAAGAGGGGCAGGACTTGTGCACCTCTGTAGGTATTCTTTAGCTTTCAGCACTTGTTTTCAATGTAGATGGTAAATCTTGCATAGTTCCCACTAAGTAGTATGAGTTTTCTTTACAACCTGCTGCATATTCTTAGTGCTGCTTGTAAGCAGCTGGTGGAGGGGGCTTGTGTGATGGAGAAACTTCAGCTGGCATCTAGATCTTCCAGCAACATGCTGAACTAGGGAATACAGCCAGAATGGCCTTGAAGGCTGGTTATTTCTTCCCAAATTAAGCCCTGAGATTACAGACTGAAATGAAAGCTGTCCTAAGCTGAGCACCAACATCAGAAAAACGCAAGTGAGTTCTAAAGCATCAAGCAAATCTCCGCATTAGCTGGGAATCTGGTACTTAGCGTTCATTCTGCACAACTGAAAGAAGCAAAAGCTTGGACGTGAATGTTTCAACACAGCTGTTCTCAACCCTTTCCATGGCAGCAGTCAATCCTATGTAGCTTGGATGTAGCAGGATCTCCTACTCCAGTTTAATAATAGGAAAGGCAGTTTGTTCACCACTTCTTGATGGCAGCTACATCCTAGCAACTGAGATTATGTGATCTTGTAAGAGATCTATTCTGGTTTTTTTTGCCTCTGTGATTAAATGCATTACATTTCATTAGTATATAGTAAATGGTTTACAAATAAATCTGTTGTCCCCTTGCTTGTAGCCTCGGTTATGATTCAAGTGTCCGTGCTTTTACATATCATGCTACATGCAATTTACCACGTACCATTAAATGTTACAAAGCATTTCCTATAACTGCTCCTGTTGCTTCCCATTAGTGTGGGCAAGGCAGTTGGCTTCCTGACCCCCACAGTTGTGGTATGCCTGCCAACTGTACTCCATTAAAAATTTAGTTTGTTTTGGAATAAGTACATACGTTTGTCATTTATTTAATCCCTGTGGGTCCAAATCATTAGCTGTAATAATAGTTACGGTAGGGAAAAATGCATTAAAACCTGATCCCTCAGTGATCCTGCTTTGGCAACATCAGCTCTGGATCAGAAAGCTAGTTCATATAGTGGGCCAACAGAAACAACAGGGAACCAGCACAAAATTGGGAATTCTTGTTGTGTTGTAGTATAACCAGGCTTCTGTTGTTGCCTTCAGCAATGAACTGATGAGCTTAGATGATTAGGTTCAGACATCCCCATGTTTTTTTCTTCCCTATAGCAATGTTGATTCAGGTACTTTGCATGTGCTGTTTTCCTACACCTCCACCTCCTTCTTATGTCATTAGTGCTGATGAAAGCCTGGGCTTTGGATACCACCCACCCATGCTGCTGCTACATCAGGTTCAGCATTGGGGGTTTTTTTGTTGTTTTTGTTTTTGTTTTTTTGCATGAGGCTTACTACTCTAGACTGGATATTGCTTCATTTTCCTCTGAAGAAAGGTGGAAACCTTTTGGGTTTCCCCCCCCCACCCCCGCCCCATACATTTTATGTTGCTATGTCTCCTGAAAGCCACATACTACAGTGGCTCTCCCTTGCTGAAGTCGCCTGTTTGTTAAATGCTCTGCCCTCACATCTCATCAAAAGCTGTCCTGATATCCCTTAAATTACGCATCAACCTTGCTAGGGCTCACTAAAATCTAGCTTACATGAAAAAATCTGGGCACGCTTTATTCAGTCATGCAAACATGATCTAGACAAAGTAGTCCTCTAGAGAGGCATCGGTGGTGCATGTTCCATCGTCATTAGATTATATGTTCAAAGATGCAGTATGCATACTCCAGTCTCAGATTATAGCAGCATCACTGCTGCCAAAGAGTACTTTCTTTTGGGTTTCCAGGACTGTGTGCCTCAACGAGAGGAGTCAGTTCATTGACTTCACATACCTGAGCTGAAGGCGAGCCCAAAATACAGTTGTACCACTTTGTGCCCTGGCAGTCTAGCTTTGCTACCTGGGAGTACTGCCAATTAAGCAGAGAGAGGTGAGGATGGAGGGCCATATGCTGTCCTGGCTACTTCAGGATCACTATAGAGAAGACTAACAGTAGTTGCACCCTTGCTTTTCTCGGAGCAGATGACAGTGTGGACATGACAAAGGGCAAAGAAATAAAGGTAGAAAGCAAAGACGTCTCTGAGAGCTGCTGGCTGGATTCCTAGGGTCAGCTGGATGGGAAGGGAGGTCACTTCTGTTACAATATTTTAGGCTTCCCAAGGCATTCTTGCCTGGTTCCTGAGAAGGCCTTCTTGATTTTGCAAGTCCGTCAGCTCTCTGGGTACAGATTAGCTGGGGAGATGGCGTTTGCTTTCCTAGCGCTGTGGGCTGCTTCACCCTGAATGCCAGTCCCACCTCAGTTCTCTGCTGCAGGTAGGACTTGGCAGAGTGAATCTGATGAAGCATGCTGTGTTAACAGCTGAGTGCATTTTCAGAAAAGTGAATGGAAACGGAGTCCAGCTTGCCAGGGAATGAGACCATAATTTCACATGCACCTTTAGGTAGCTAGCACTACCAGAAGAGGTAGCTCCACCCAACATTCACTGTTTCTTCCTGTCCCTTTGCTACCTGGTCTCTTATTTTGTCACCAGCATCTCTATGACCACATGGAGAACCTGATTATGGTAGAGATCCAGCTGAAAACAACCTAGTGAAATGAAGAAAAGCATATTTAGTTTTAATTTGAATCTGCTGCCTGATCTGGCTTACCATGTGGCCACCCAAGCGTTTGCACCAGCATAGTAGAGGAGGCAGGGCAAGAGTAGAAGAAAACAGATTCTGGTAGAAACAGAGAAACTGCTTCTCTTAACAGCAGTGTCAGGCCATCACAATTGAGACTGTGAACCTGCACAGTAAAATATGACATCTTTCTATAAATAGGAAGCAATTTGGACTGATGTCAAAGAGAGCAAAATTTGTTGTACGCCGGAGTAAAATATTTTCTTTGTTCCTTTTTTCTTAGGATTCAGCCAAGTTATATGTGGGAACCCTATCAAGGCCCTTCGTGCAAGGAGACAAAAGCTAGGTGTATGTTTTTCTTGTATACTACGTGTTCCTGCCTGGCCACCCATGTAAATCCTGTGATAAGCTGAGTTCCCACTATGGTTTGTGGGGTCTCACTCTTCTGTGGTACAAAAGCTTGCGAAAAAGCCATGGGCCTTGAAGAGGATGAGTCTTGACGGGTGTGTTTCCCACTTTGTGTTCCCTCACGCACATGCCATGAGCTCCCAAATGCAAATTGAGGGCAATTAGTGGTAAAAGCCAAACCCAGAAAAATGAACAAATTGCAGGAAGAGAACAGGAAGAGATCCAAGGCACTGTTAGTACCCCAGTTCTTTGCCACAGAAGGCTGTGGGATGAAAAGATCCAGGTGATCCTGAGAAGCGGAGAAAACACAGAAGGATTCATGAGCTGGAAGACAGATAGCTGAGGGACTCCCTACCCTGATGGAGGATGGTGGGAGTGCTCCGTGTCTCTTGTCTGAGAAGGGCAATAGAAATCTGAGAGAGGAATGTCAGTCAAAAACAGTGACAAACAGTATTGTGTCACTGAATAAAAATATCACCAGGTATTGCTTGCAATCTCAGTTCAGAAACAGAGAAATAAACAGTGGGGAGAATTGTTTCTTTCATCAGAAGGAATAAAAAACTTCAGCTGTAAAGAAACACATGAAAATCGCGTCAGCTGCTGGTGGCACATTTCGTATCATCTTGCCTGAACAAAATGCAAGGCAGGATTGCAGGATTTTGGCCCTTTTTGTGTAACAGCTATTAGGCAAAAGCTTTTTCATGTTTCCAGTTTCTTTGATGTCAGTATAAATACTCAGGTTGCTAGTGCTGCAGGATTGTTCCTCTTGACTAAATGAATGTAAAGCCAAAGTTCCTCTCTGCATTAGAGAAAGTGCATGTATAGGGCACCTGCATCACTATGCTATCTGCAGCTTTACTTCATGCTGAGAACAAAAGGTAAAAGAACCACTAGGATGAATGTGGCCCTCCTTTTTTTTTTTTTTTCTCCACTGCCACTGCCCAAACACTGGAAGCTTTTTTGAATCAAATTTGAACTCTTGATTGAATTATTGTGCGTTATAAAGTAGAATGTGAAAGGGAACTGATCAGTTCTGTGTTACTGATCTTAATATGCATATTGGCATAGATGTTACTCTTAGGCCTATTTAAAGGAGAGCTGTACAACAGTGGGATATAAATCGGATTTTCTTTACTGCCACCCTAGGTTCCTCCCACAGACCTGGGTTCCTACAGGTGTAGTGGTGCGTGTGATTGGGGCACAGAGCTTTTTTAAACTGAAGAGTAGGAAAATGGTAAGAGGTGATCTGAAAACTCGGGAGGAACAGCAGACTTTGCCTTCTAAAATCCACAGCCTGGAAATGGAGCTGGAGAGAGTTTCTGAGTTTCTCAAGACAACTTCTGTTATTTTTGTAGCCATCTGCCGTGAGCCCTTTGAAACTGTGCAGTCTGAGGGGGGAATACTCTCATGCCTCTGAAGAAGAAGGTGATCTGAGCCAGGAAGATGTTTTCACTGAACTGAGAGTGTGGAGAGAAAAGCATAAACGGTGAGAGTGTGAGAGAAATGTAGACTGTTGTGCAATAAAACAGGGATTCGTTTTCTGCCTTAATAGTAAAATAAACTCTTTGGCCACCTGGTGGTGGTTTCACGGGATAGCCTTTCATCTTCTACCTCCCTGTCTCGGCAGGCAGAGACAGCAGCCCTTATGAGCAGTTCTTCCTGCTGGAATATCTGTGGGAAGGGCAAAGGAAAAAGAAACCCGAAATTCTCTTCTCTCTCTAGAGCAGGCTAAAGACTAGCACAGACAGGGTGCGCTTACCTGCTTAGTGAGTGCAAGGAGATGACTTTTGGCTGTTAGGATCTTCTTGGTGCTATCAGTGCTCACCTCCAGGCAGTGAAAGAGGTGAAAGTGCAGGAGGGTTTTCAGAAGCATCACGTTGACCTAATCAAATGAAAACTTTACTACTGATTTCAGAGGGAAGTAGAATTAGGTCATTTTTGGTTATTCCTGCTCAGCTTGCCTGACTGTGTGAAGAGAGTGAGTCTCACACCTGGCCTCATGCAGTCTCCTCCAAAGTCTACCAAAAGACTGCTGCTGTCTTTGGATCAGCCCACTTTATGGGCAGAATGTCTTCTGTTTTCCATGTCTGCTGTCTGTGTAGTAGTCCAAAGGCTGAAAGGAAAAAGAACACCATATTGAGATTGCCCCATCTCATAGATAGATGAGTTTTTTGGAAGTGAAAATGGCTTTATTTCTCTGAACTTGTTTCACTGCATAACCCATTTCATTGGTTAACTTAAGGATACTTTCAGACAATCAGACATGGGCAGCTTAGGTGCATGATCCGTTTATAATGATCTTTCATATCTCCAAGTAAGTGGCAAATCAGTGGCTGTGACTAAGTTTACTATCCTGGTACTTGCCTCTGTGTGGTCACACCAAGCTGCACTTGCCTTACTGCATGTTGGCAACTCAAAGGCTAACTAAAGGTTAACATTTAATGTTGTTCAGGTGCCTGCAAGTGGTTCAGCAAGAAAAGTCCCCCCAAGTACTGAAGGCAACTCTTAGTGATGAGGAAGAGGATGAAGACTGCAGCCTGGCTGACAACTGCGAAGATGAATTGAGGAAGACTTATGATGAGGACCTCACTGAAAGGATTTCACTTGATTCTTTCCGTTCCTGTCTTTCCCAGTCATCCTCAGGTACTGGACCCAGTCCTCTGAGGAAGGGTTGACATCACGTAGTGACAAATGTTACTAACCACTTTCAGACAGCTGTTTTAGTATCTGTGATGTTCTATAAGATTTTGTTCCTGTGCTGTCGAGCGGTAATTTGGAAATGTTAGCACAGAGCCAGACTCTAAATAATCCACTCCAGTTTTCAGGTGGGACGTGGCAGGCTAGCTGTGTCAATCACCAGCTGATATATTTCAGCATAGATAAGTAGCATTAAGAGGAACAAAGCCGCCTCACACCAGTTCAGAATTCGGTGTAAAGGGAAGACATGCCTCTTTCTTTTACCTTCTGTAATTAATTTTGGTAATGCCAGGTGAGTATAAATACTGTCATTCCAACTGGGTAATGTTTTACCTCCTGGTTGGCACTGATGCAAATAATGCCTGAGTTAATGATTATGGTTCAGTTGGGCAACTGGGAATTCTGGGAAGACATGCATCCAAAAGGGTGCATTCGGTAAATAGTTTAAAAATAAAGTATGCTCTTTTACCCAGGAACAAAGCCGAAGAGCTGTGGAATTACGCTTGCATGAATTCCCCCTCTTCTTTACTTGTTGAATATTATACTTCAGGATCTCAGAAACTTTGGTAATGATTATTCCAAATACATATCAAGTAGAGGAGTTTAGCAAAGGACGGCTTTAATCTATTCCTATAGTTAATAATTACTTTTTTTTGCCTCAGTAAATATTAGCATGTGAATTCTGTTTTTACGTGTCTTTCAAGGACAAAATGGATTGCTTAAAAATGAAAACAGTATTTATAAAATATTAAATTCTTAAAAGTCTCTATGTCTAAACAGTAGCATAAACAGTATCTCCCGAACAAGAACGGAATCCGTTTGGAAAAACCTGAAGAAACGGCCTATTGACCCATGACCAGTCAAGTCTTAGATTATGATCCAATGATCTCTTTAGATTTCATATGATCTTTTTTAGATTTTATCTTTTGTATTTAATATGATATCTTTAGACTGAATATAATTTACTATGGCCTTATGCTCTCTTTAGATTTAATAGACAACGCCCCAAAACACATCAGGATGTGCTGGTGATGTAGTCCACAGGATTGTAAAAGTGAATGGATGTGCATGGTTGTGGTTGTGGAGATCTGTTAGGATTTGGCTACAAGACTGATTGAGTGGTTGGAAATCGAGTGGTACCTAAGGGGAGGGGAGAACCACGTCCCTATATCACAGGTATCTGGTCATAATAACAAAGATTTATACAAGATAATTGCAAACACAGTTGCCAGTGTCCACTGTCACTAATGGACATACGTGTTTTAGGGAGCAAGTACCTGATGCAACTTTAGCAACCGATAGACTTTATTCAGCAAGGCAGTTAAGAACGTACTTGACCTCTGTGACTTGAGACTATGTTGGAGTGCAAGATTTGTAAAAGTATTTAAGTGCCTCAGCACTGAACTTTAGAATCGTGTCCTGCCCAGTGTGATTTTTCTGATTCAGATGATAGAACTTGTTTCTGGAAATAATCCTTCTGACAAGGAAAGAACAAATCATCTGAGCAAAAGCATTCCTATTTAAAAGTGTTTCTTGCATCAGGTCTATATAATCTGCAAGCTTTGGAAGTCTTGAAGTGTTATTTCAGGCTCTTGAGTCAGGCATACCAGTCTTTCAGAGTGTCTTTACTTACAAACAACCAACCGTACCAAAAACCCCATCAAATTTAGACATTTTAAAAGCATATATTATGGTGGAAACTGTTCGGTGTAAATTTTCTGTCAGATTTTTCCTAAGCAGTAAAATACATCTCAGTCAATTAGGAGGTACAAAGCTGAATTTTCTGTCCCTGTGTTTTAGTGGCTCAACTACTCCCAAAGCATTCTTTAGATTGTGTTCCTACTATGAACTCTGCACATCAGGCAGTTAGGTACAGTTAGTTCTTTTAATATACAAGAGCAATTGGATCCCTGCTATGTATAGAATGATTTTAAGGATTTGTGCATGCACATGTTATATTCATAAGTCAGCAACGAGATTCTTCTTACATGTTGCACCTGAGGATTTCATGGGCTAAAATCTGAACAGCCAGAGGAAGAGCAGGTAGACTGCTGTTTCTGTATGTAGGAAAATATTTCCCTAACATTCAAGCACTTTCCTTCGTTTTAAGTCTAATCTCAAAGCCTTATTCCTACACCTCTGTATCTGATAAAAATGCAGTTCCGCTGATCTGTGATTGGTTTTGCACCTTGAACTTCAGGGAGCTGGATGGCATCCTCAGGCGTTTAAAACAGGTCAAGGCAACACTGGTCGGGAATGGTGCAGGTATGGCTGATCCTGCCTTGGGACAGGAGGGTGAGTGAGATCAAGAGATTTGGTCTGTTCCTCTTAAGCTGTGCACAGCTCGTGAGCCGTTTGTGTGATTGGCAATCACATCGCCAGTAGTGCTGGCAGGGAGGTCACCAAGTAAACCGAACCCCTGGCTGTCAGAGGAAGCAGTCCAACAAGGGCAACGTCACCGGGTGCCATGCGACGCGCCTGCCCACCCAGCTCCGTCACACAGGGTTCTCTAAAACCTTCTGCTCACTGAGTCGGTTATTTAGGAGTAAGGTGAGCCTGTAAATCACTGTACTTCCCCATTTTTCAGATTCGTCACGTACTCAGGAGTGGACAGTGTTCTCCAACCCAAACCGTTGTCTAATTCCTTCTCCTCCAAAAAGCCCTTCGCCTGCATCTGTACTGGGTGTTGCAGCAAGTCCCTGGAAAATGAGGAACCACAGGGTAAGACACCTAAAAATACCCAACCGAGAGGAGGACAGGCAGCGGACGCAGCTTTGCCAATCGAGGGCTGGTCGAGAAACATCAGCTGAGCCTCTGGGCGAGGAACTTGCTCTCCTGAGCCTGCACAGCGCACCTGCTGTATGTGAGGCTTTCCCTTCCCAATCACAAGGGCAACACCAGCCTGGTGGGAGCACTGGCAGGCTGAGACCTATTTCAGGACCAGCAGCTGTTGGATCAACGAGTGTCAGGTACGCACGCTGCCGGCAGCTCTCCCTACAGGATGTCTAGTAAAAACAGAACGGACTTCACAGCAGGAAAAAACATACTTCTGTGTTGTCTCTGGAATCTCCTGCCTGTTCTGTAAAAATAACTCCTTTTATTCATGCTGGCCTTTATGTTTGTGCTAAAGCTAAATGAAACATTTGCTTATGTTACTCATAGCTTGAATGTTGGAGATACTGTATTTTCTTGAATAACAGTCCAGAATCTCCTTGTGTCCTTTCTGCTCCACCCCCGTGTTTCCCATGCAGGGCCGTTATCCATATCTACTGTAGGGCTCTGGTAGTGGTACCTGTTCGAGACTCTCCTTGGGCAGATACCGGAATCAATTGCTAACATGCCATTATATTTTTTCCCTTGAAACTTGCATCAATTCATGGTAGAAAAAGCTCTGGAAAATAGGGCCCTTTAGAAAACAATGTAGGTGTTAGTTCAGTATCATATGCACATAAACATGGTTATTTCTAGACCCTCTCACTGTGAGATTTGGACCCTCTCATTGTAGGGTTAGCATCTCGTTACTTCTCTGAAGAGCTAGAACTGAAGAGTCATAATACAACATCTTGATTTTTACGTTAACCTAGTTATTACGGTGCAGTGTACACACAGAGCGTGTGCCTTGTATGGAAAGATGGTGTGCCTTGTACTGCTCCCAGTCCTGCGAGTTTTTGGTTCAGTTTTCAGATTGGGAGACCACAGAGCCAACGGGGAGAGTGCAGATGCCCAGATTCAGAGTGCAATTTCACCCAAGTGTTTCTCTCTTTTCCCCAGGCCCACCATGGATAAGAATGCACCCAGAATGATCAGCCATCACCAACCAGTCGTACACTCGTCCACAAGAACCGCAGGGAAGTTTGGGCTGACGAATGCAGCTTGGCCCCTGACTGCAAGGGCTGTGCTGCAGAAGTTGCCAGACAGACCCAGTGTCTCGACAACATCTCAGAGCAAGACTCCCCAGTCCTAGAAGACAGCCCACGCGGCTACGTGTGTTGGAGCCACGCACACAGCAGTCTTCAGTCACTGGATGCGTTCCTTACGCTTGAAGGACTGATGCTATCTTTCAACTTTGTCTGCAAGCTAAACACAGAGCTGTGCAAGCAGAGCGCTTTAAACAAATGGCATGATTTGCCTCAATTAAGGCTACAGCTGGTCAGAAGTGCTTTCTTTAAAGAGCACCTGCTGATCAACATAACAGCTAATCAACCTCTTATTACAGAAAACACAGTTATTTTTACAGCTTTCATGTACTAAAACAGAACAAGTCTTTAGTATATTTCCACTTTTTCACATCATGCCCTGCTCTGTGAGTAAGGGCAGCATCACTGTGAATAAGGCAGTGATAATAAACCAGACAGGGCTTAGTCTGCAGTTGCCAAAGTGGGCCAGAGAAGGTGAGGGACATGGGGCATTCCCTCTTACAGTCGGTAGCCTGGTCTAGAAATGGCCCTGGCAGTGTCTGCTGCAGTCCTAAACATTTAACATGCAAGGTACAGAGGCGAGAGTTCAAGGGGAAAAGATGACCTGAGCATGTTGCAAGGCAGAGGTGTGTTGCCCATGTCCCCAAAAGAGGAAGAATCCAGCATGCAGGATGCCGAAGTGGTTTCAGAGCTAACACCCTCTGGCCCTGTGGGAGCTCAGCCTGTTTGTGATCATCCAGAGTCCCTGCTGTCTGCATCGCTATGGGTGGGAACGCTGAAGAAGTGGCTCATTATGCATTAACGTGTTTATCTGCTCATTAGCTGCCTGGAAGGACTTCTCACGTTGCCTGTGGACAGGCATTGCATATCAGAATTTCATAAGTAGAGATGACCTCTGTAAACAAGTTGTGTTGTGTCAGAGCCTCCTTTGCGTGTGCCTTTGGAGTAAATTTTCCACTTCTGGTGTTTTTAGATCAAACAGACTTTACAAATTCTGACTAAATTACTTTAAATGATACAGCAGCTAAGACGAGGTAGGGGTGTAAGGAAACATCTCCTGTTTTTCAATAGGGTATTTGTTTTATAGGTGGGTGAGATTCAAAACAGCTGTTTTAGTGACTGCAGACTGTGAGATACTGATCCAAGTGAGTAGGCCTTACAATTGTATTGATGCAGTCTGAAGCCAAGCATCATCACATTTTTTTTCTAATTTAAATTACTCTGTTAGATATCTACCTTTAAATCAGTTGATAAAGCAGTAATTACATGATGAGCGAATGAATTGTTTGATGTCATCTTTCTACTGGTCAGCTTAAAGGAAACGAGCAGAATAACAGAGAAAGCCCAAAAACTTCATCTTGTCCTGGTGTACTTGCACCAGTTTTTCCTACAAAACAGTTTGGAGGCGGCAGCCACTTTGCACAGTCTCAGTGGGCACTTGAGGAAACCAGCCATCAGAAGCATTAAAAACGATGTGACATGTGATCCCATGAAACACTATGGATGCAGGAAGGATTTCCAGTCAGATATTGCCCAACAACAGTGCCTGTGTCATTAAACTGGCTTCTAAAATTGACTGTTTGCCAGTGCCACTTGACTATGAGCCAGAAAAAAAATCTGACCTTGTAAAAGAAAGAAGAAAGTGGCAACATAATTTTTGGAAGTGCTCTGCACTCTCCCTGTCTGCTTGAAATCTGCAGCCCTCTCTGACACTCAGCACTGGTAACAATTAGGCCCTTCTCTATGGCAAGGGTAGTATCCAGTGGGTGATGGTTAGGACTGTGTTCTCCAAATATTCAGAGGGGCGATATTCCTTCTCAAGTTGCATGCTTGATTTCAAAGCAGCAGAAAAAGCATAAGTGGGTTTTTGTATATGGAAATTGGGCAGCTAGAGTGGTCTGCACCTGTGCATTTGCAGATGCAAATGCGTCCGGGTACAGATTTCCGGGTACAGATTTGGAAACTACTCTCAAAAACGTCTATGAGCTTTTTTCTCAGCAAACACAGATTGGCTCTGTTGGTGCAAGGAGCTGCTTTGTGGTGGTGGAGAGGGCATGGAGAAACGATCAAAAAAAAAAAAGTTTTTTTTGTCCTTGAATTGGTAAATTACCATGAGCTGCCTGACAAGGGGAGAGGAAAAGAAGTTTGAATAATATACGGTTGGGTGTCCTCCGAGCAGTCCTCTCTGTCTGCTTTTTGTCACCATTTATGTAGTGAAAGAGACCCCAATACAGACTGTCCTGCTGCCTGTCCAGTCTTCTCTTCTGTCCCAGAAGTTCAGAATTGAACCAGCAAACCCTCTTCCCAAGCTCTGCTTTCACACGTGGGAAATAAGAGCCTCGTCAAAAGTGTTCTTGCTCAGGGTTTCCTGCTTTAACTTCCCGTCAGATATCCCAGTGGTGACTGTCAGGGGTGCAGGCAACGTGCGACCTTTAAAAGAGCCACCCCAGCCGGTACTAACTGGGTGGAACAGCCGACACGCTCGTGTGCCCTGTATGGGTGTACACAATGCGTATGAAAAGAATCGGGACGTGATGTCCTTTCTACCTATCGGTTACTGCATCAGCTGGTGGGACGGTATCCTCACAGGGGCCTATTGATAGCGACGGGGAATGTAAGACGGGAACTCGAAACCATATTTGGATCGAGTGCTCCTCTGTCCAGTCAGTGCTACTGCAGGGACTGAGGTACCTGGGGCTGCCTTGGAGGTGCGAGAAGTGAATAGGTTAGCGTGAGCATTGTGGCATGTTCTAGCAGATGCAAAATGTTTGCTCGAGTGGGACTGTCCTGCAGCAGAAAGCAGCACTTCAGGAGCTGGGGGCCCTGGGATGCACTGGGAAATGTTTCCAGAGCAGTATCCTGATGCCGCAGTTCCTGCTTTAACCTCTGGGTTATAGGCAGAAAAGTGAAAGCACTGGGCAACTCTGTTCTCAGGCTGTTTTCAGCTGACCCCACAGGCAGGGAGGTCAGGGTGCCCCTGGGGCATCGGGCTGATCTGGGAGCCATGCTGGGTGTCAAGCCACACTGCTGGCTGCGTGCCCAGAACACACCAACAAGAGGCAAAAGGACGATGCTCCCCCTCTCAAATAACAACGCTTAGCTCTTGCAGGTTGCTTTCCAGAGGTGGATCTCTAGCTATGTTACCAAGCAAGGCAGGGGTTGGTATCCCCACCTCAGGGATACAGAGGAAGATGAAGCGACCGGCACAAGTCTTGGCAGCAGAGCAGCAGCACAGGTAGGAATTACGACTTCCCTCCATGCGTACATCTTGCTAATGCAGTTCTCGGTACGTGAAGCTCAGCAGGTAGCGGAGCCAAGCGGTCCTGTCAAGAGATGTGGTTTTTGCATGCCCTCTTCATTGCTTCCTTTCTCAGGGATCTGACCTACTGAGCGATACGTGCAAGAGCGTGTGCTCTGCAGTTAAACGTGTAACCAGACCCAGCCTACACTGTCGAGTATGGAGCAGCAGGGAGCCTTGTTAAAAGAGAGCAAGCTTGTGATCGCAGCCTTGTGATCGCAGCCTGACCTCTCAGGGAAGAAGGCTGGTAGTCTCATTTCTGGTGACAGCAGGTGCACCCGAGGTTTCCCAGACCTGCCACGCTGTTGTCTGTTACGGTTTCCAGAATCAGCAAAATAAACAGGGCTGTTGCAAATCTTATCTGCAACTGAACTGTAACAGATCCATAGAGGAAATTCTTGCTCTGGTTTTAGCCTCTGCTCATTCACCTTCCACCTTTATAATCCATAAAAAGTAAAAGCTAGCCAGGGCTTTGATAGGCTAATTAGAAAATGTCAGGCATGGCAGGCTGCATGTGAATTAGGTTCTTTTGGCCCACAAGGGAAATAGACGAGGAGTTTCATAGTGGGTTTTCTTGCCACTGTTTCCTCTGTTGAAAACCTGCATTGGCCCCTTGAATATGGAAAAAGTCATTTAGTGAATGAGCTTATTCCCATCTCTGCCTTTGCAGACTCTATTAATATTTAGCTCAGCAGAGTCCTCACTTCCAGCTGGATGTGACCCGTCTCAGATGTACATAACCAGACTTTGTCTCTTCATTCTTGCAACAGACCAGGAACTGCTGATGCCTTTAAGCATCTCTCTGAGTTAATGGGATTTGCTACTGGCTGCCAAATTGATATTTAGTGTGTAAGCAGGAGAGAGGGGAGAGAACTGCCCCCCCCCCAACCTATTAATAAATCAGTGCCACAGGGAAGAATTTTCTGCCAGAAATTAAGTCTCTTTGGAGCGTGCTACTCCACAGCTCTCTGGGACTAGGTGCTGCTGCAGATGAGACGGGTTGTACCTCCTTGGTCACCGCGCGGCGGTGGCTGCTGTCTTGTCCTTTGTGCTGCCCTTGAACAGCCACCCTTTGGGGTGGGAGCAGCTCTGGGCATGTTTGCTAAGGGAGGGGGTTGTTAGCTGCAGGGAGCGGGGCTGTGAGCAAGGGGAGAAGGGACTTGGCCCCAAGCGACGTTGTTACCGAGTCAGCAGAACTCAGGAAGTGCTCAGGAAGCCTCTAAGCACCACTTAACTGGCATCCTGAGAAGAGCCCTGCTGGAGCGGATGGTACTTCCTTGCATGCTTAAAGGCTGTACTGAGGCGGAGCCTTAAAAAGGGATCCAAGGAAGAAGCAGGGAGCTGCGTGCCAGCTAGGCCAGGTCTTGGGTGATACAGCTGCTTATTTTAGTGTCTAAAAATCTTTCCCCCTCCTGAAGGGAACATGTCCAGGGCAGTATTTCACCCAAACAAATGGCAAATTAAAAATGACTCCTGCTCAGACTGGCATTGTGTTGTGTGACCGCCAGCCCTGCAGAGCCCGGCCTGTCCTGGGGACCTGGGAGCACACCGTTTGGGACAGGCCAACAAGGATGCTAGCCCTGTCGAGCGTCCCCCGTACAGCTGTTGTAACAGTCCACCTCCACCGCAGAGCTTGTTGCTCGCTGTGCTCGTTAGCAAGGCAGTTACTTACTCTTACTGAAAGCTTTGTAGACATGGGCTGCTTTGCGCTCGGAACAGATTTGCGTTCATTGCTGGACGAAGAAGAGATACTTCCTTTGGCTGCCAAGGAAGAGAAAACCCAGGAGACGTTCAGGAAGGGAAATTTTGTATGCATCCATCTTGTTTAAATACATACAAATTCCAGGTCAGCTCTAGATAATTTCTAAGGTTGTTTCTTGGATTGCCACAGTGTTGAGCGCCCAGTGTGCTTGGCCTCATTGCTACGGGCAGTGTCTGCAGCCGCAGTAAGATATTGTCACTTCTGGGACGTGATTCATCTAACATGGACACCTAAAATGAGTCAGGTGGTTTGTGCTCCAGTAGTGCCACTCTCTCCCTTGCTAAAGGAGGATACTGGACAGCAGCTAGACATCTGCTTGGTACCGTTGATGACAGGTGAGATGAATCTTGCCCTGGGGCAGCTTTCTTGGTACTGATACTTCCAGAGTATCCTGGCCGCGTTTTTACTGTCAGCAGCATCTGACCTCTCTGAATTTCCAGTGGGGGATACTGGCAATGTGAACTTAAATGTCTCTCCTTTCCAGGCTGGAGCAAAGGATGCAGCCTTGAAGAGTGGTGATGATCAGGGAATATGTTGGAACGGGCATATGCCTGCATGCATGGATCTATGCACACAAGCCACATGTGGGAAACGGACGGATGGAGGTTTACCCGGCTGCATGTGGCAGCACATATCGCTTCAGCCTGTTTCTGGTGAGCAGTGTAACAGAGAGGCCCTGCCTTCCCTCTCGGGACGCTCACAGCGCTGTGTGCAGGTGTGCGGTACTGTCTGGTGTCCTGCCGCATCCGCGAGGAGGCCGCATGTCGCTGCCGGGGACAGCGCTCCCCTCATTTTAGTGCCAGCGACCTCCCTGATGGAGCGGGTGGGGGGAGCAGGCAGGGCACGGCAACTGCAGGACATGCTCTGGGGTTTTGTGTGTATTGATGTGGACGTAGGTCTGCTGCCCAGCAGGGCAGCGACAGCTGGCTGAGCCTGTTCAGTGCCGAGTGGTCGGTAGCACAGGGACCTGGGCATCCTGCTCTGTCCACCCACCTGCTGTACAGGAGGAGCGCTCCGGTGAGAAGTGGATGGTGCTTGAGGGCATCTTTCTCAGTTTCGTCTTTGTTTTCCTCTTACCACCTTTGGGATGATCTGACTGGGTAGGCTTGCTGGCAGGGCTGTCAGAAGAGCTCTTCCTTTGGCTGTGAAAGACAAGGTCAGCTCACAAGCAGCAGCATTTCTTTAAACCTTCCTGTTCACTTCTTCTGGTGTTTCCAGATCAAACTCAAATATCCAAATGAGTATCCAGAGCCTGGGCTGTGCTGGGAAGGCTTCAGACTGTGCTGCTATGGAAAGGAGCCTGCCAGAAATGCGATTTTACTGAGTGATCCTAGGCGCACGCTCTTAGGTTTCGGCAGTCTTCCTTGCTCTAGGAGCCTGGCTCTGTCCAGTTAAGGCCTGCAGTGCCTGTAGCTGTGTGCTGGGGAGGATATTGCCTCCCGACCCCTGCCACCCCCAGCTTTCCCCACTTCTCCCACACGCAGCAGCCTCCCCATAGCGCAGCTTCCCTGCAGTCTGCCTGAGCTGCCTTCTGCCAGGGCCGCTTTCTCCCTGCCTGCACCAAGGTGTGAACTGCAGCTGTGGCTTTAACTGGGCATCGCGAACCCTGTGGGTCATGGGGGCTTCCAGGCAGCCTGCAAACAGTGACCACGGGGCCCGCATCCCAACGTCTCCCATTGCATGGGAGAAGCCCCACAGAGGCTCCTTTTGCTTTCCTGGTTATATATGTTTTGCTCTGTTTTTTTACCTGGTTTTCAGTGCTGCAGAGATGCCTGTGCTCTGCCTGTGAGGAAGCTCAGCAGCTGCTCTCTGGTCTGTCTCTTGATCGAGTGGGAACTTGTCCACTGAAAGGTCCATCTTATCATTGTAGGCGTCTGCAGCCACCATGTGTCTGTGTGGAGCTGTGAACTCCGACAAAATCTTGGATAGCCCAGGTGGAGTGAGAAAAGAGGGAGAGAATTAATCTCCTTTGGCAATTCTCATCCCCTTGTGGCGCAGCCAGGTGGGTTGACTCTCGTTGGTGACCCTGCAATGCTGCCGGCTGCTGCACCAGCTTGCAGGGCTGCCAGCCGCGCTGAGGGCAGGGAAGGGCACGTCCTGGCAACGCTGCACCAGGATTGTGCCCTCGTCATATCTCCGGCCGAGGGAGATGGGTTTGGCGCCTGGGCCCGCGGGGCAGAGGGGCTGTAATCCTGCCCTGGGCTGCCACAGAGCTCTGGGGCTGGAGGCCATGGAGTAATTGCTGGCCCTGAGAGCGCTTGTCTGGGAAGCTGGTCTCAATTTTTAAACATAATTGCGCCCCATCCCTCCTGAGCAAACACTGCAATCCTGTCGGCACTAATTGATATTTGTTTAGGCAGAGAATAATCCTCCTCCTTCTTAGGTGTAAACGACACCCCAGCTCAGGTCTTTGAGAGGCTGGTGCTGCCTCATGGAAACTGCCATATGTGATTAATTGGCCACGAAACAGGAAGATGCTAATCAGCTGCTGTACAAGGCTGCAGAGGCTGTTGTCTGTAATTACCCATCCTGTCTAGCAGCAAATGAGCTTGACGGATGGAAGAAGTCCCTGAGACAGCTCCACGGTGCCTTTCACGCCCCCTCGCTGCCTCCATGCACAGCCCAGCTACTCCCGGAGGCAGGGACTCAGCGGCTTGTGCAGAGCGCCTGGGAGCTGCCTGTCACCCGCACAGCCCCGAGATGCTTGGAAGGTTTTAACAAACAGCTTGGTTTTAGCAGCGCTAGTTCAGCTGTGGAGCTGGGCCAGAAACCTGGGCTTGGTGTATGTCATGGGAAAAGAGCGGGAGCTTTTCTCCAGGCTGCCCCCTGGGTGGCTGCCGCAGCAGCACTCCCCCTGCCCAGGCTGGCAAACCTGCCGCTGCCCTTCCACGTGCCGCAGGAGTGCAGCAGGGACTCCCAGCAAAGGGTGGCTCTGCGTGCCTTTGAGAGGTCCCCAGACTGCCTGTTACTTGCTAGCTCCCCCTGACAGCCAGGCAGGCTATGGGTGCAGCTGGCCTGAGCGAGGCCACCCAAAGGAGGGGGGTCTCATGGCGTTCATGCCTGCTCAAATGCCCGTGTCCAGCCCCCTGGGCTCTTGCCAGGGGAGGACCATGCTGCCCTTGCCCAGCGCCCTCACCTGGCCTTGGCAGTCTCTGAGGACGGTGGTGCACTCTGGGCCTGCTCGGAAATACTGACTTGCCTTCAGCTTGGCATCTTCAGCGGGCTCATGGGTGGAACTAGTCTCTGCAGGCCAGACCTAGGGACAGGACAGGTCCTGGTGTACATATCTCTATGCCAGCCCAAATGAAAACCAATGACCTGGGCTTTGCAGGTGGACCAGACTCAAGCGCAGGAGAGGGGACAGCTGCTCTGCTTTCAGCCAGGGACCTTTGGTGGCCAGAGCAGCCATAGCTCAATGCTTGGTAACGCATGTTCTTCCTACTCCTGCCCTCTTCCAACCCAACGGGACCTTCTGTGGGTTCTGCACACTAGCCAAGGGGGTGCCTTCATCTGCTGTACGCCCAGTTGGGCTTTCAGCCCCCTTTTAGGGCTTGCTACTCCCCGAAGAGTTTGAAGGGCCTAGATGTAGGGCCCAAATTATTTCCCTGTCTCTGGCCTCCTCACCCCATGTGGAAGGGTGCTCTGCTTACGGTAACATGATGCCGTGGGGGAAGAGTGGTGTCCACAGGGAAGCGGTAAAGGGATAGGGGAAACCCGCCAACCCACTGCTGGATGACGTAGCCGCTGATGTCTATGGTGATACGGGAGCAGCAGTTGAGGATCCGAACAAAGTTGCCCTTGGGATCCACAGTGACAATCTTCAGGAAGTTGGTGTCGCTGGATGGCCTGGGAACACGGAGCTTCGGTGAGGAGGTGTCCCTGGAGCCCAAACCCTTCTGTGATAGGAGGTGAGACCCAGGCGAGGGCAACCTCATGTGAGGGCAACTCCGTAGTGGGGAGTACGTCATCCTTCCCAGCTCTTTTCTTTCCACCCCCTTGGTGGTGGCTGCCCTGCAGGGTGGCCCGAGGAGACCTCGTGGCCCTACATCACCATGCTGGCTCAGAGCTTTGCTTATTTGCGTGGGCAGCCAAGGCAGGTGAGTCTGCAGTGGGATGCCCGGCTCCAAGTGGTAGGAGCTGATGTGAGACCTGCGTGTGCTGCGTCTGACCAGCTCGGCCCCCAGGGCAACCACTGGCAGAGCTAGGCTGTTTTAAACTGGTCCAGCGCAATGCACTGGTGCTTGCTCACGGTTTGCTTTCTTCCCTGGAGGAGCTTCTGCTGGCCACACTGGGGTGGGAGGACGCACTGGCAGGCCCACAGCCCTTGGCACTGCCGGGGAAGACGTGGGTCAGCTGGCTGTGCTTGGGGAGCTCGGCGGTGGCCTTTGGCCCAGGGGCTGCAGGAGACAGGGAGGAGGGGAGCGGTGAGGCACCCGCAGGAGCCCTCCCCGCTTCTCCTCATGAGCGTCAATCTGAGCGTCTGCACTGGTTTCCTACATCCCTGGGACAAATCCCTGGCTTTTCCCTGAAACAAGGCCTCCTGCCGTTAGGAGCACATCCTGTCCCCCTGCATGGTTAGAAACCGTGCTGCACCTGCGTGTTTCCAGCTGGATTTAAGAGAGACCGGACTGACTGCCCTCAAACCAAGGGAGTCATTGAGATAATCTTTTTGAACTACATCAGAGGATGACAGTTTTGTAACTGGCTCCTCCAGCATGGCACAGTGTAAACTAGATACTTTGTCATCTTGGCTGTTCCTAATTCTCGCCCTCCCCGAGAGATTAGTCCAGATTATGGGAGCTAGGCTGCACACGTGCAAAGGAGCTGCTAGTGGTGGCCGCCAGGATGGGCAGAAACCACACTTACCTGCAGAGCCCGCTAGCTGGTTGCTGTCCGGTGCCTCTGGGAGGTTCTGGAATAACACCGTGGCCCCGGGCCTGTCCTGGTCAGAAAGCAGATCCGATTTCAGAGGTTTCCTGCAGTGGCTACTGTCTGTGCTTTGTCCCTTTTTCCCCGGGAATGTATCGATCTTCTGAGCTGAGCTTAATTTCTTGAGTTCATTTGTTTTCCAGCTGTAAGGAAAAATAAAGTGTTGAATGACTGCGTAGAGAGTCGTGATGTTATTTATAAACTCTAAAAAGCTGTGCTTCAGGAAGAGGATTAATGCATATGCACTGAGGCAAGCTGTAACTTTTATTGCATTTGGTGAGTATCTTGAATAGCTTGTGAATGGACGCTAGGGGGAAGAAGAGAGTCTAGCAAGTGTACTTTTGGAAGTAAAACGACTTGCAAACCAAAAATAAGCAGCTTCAGAGTGCTTGGGGGACATTCAGCACGCAGTGGGCTTAACATTTCCTTTGATGTCCGGTGTGCTTGCCCCTTATGATGCCCTAAAATGTGCTATGCTAGTAGTGTCTTGCTACCGCGTACAACTTAGATTTACTGGAAACATTTTTTTAGGAAACCTGCAAGGCGCCATATAATGGAGAACATCCCTAGCCCCTGTCTCAGCTATATGGCAGCGGTGGTGGTGCTTTTTTGGCCTCTGTCGGTGCTACATGAAATTCCAGCATGTCTTAAACAGAGATTTCTTTTTTACAGAAAACAGCTGCGACCTCCGGACAAACTCTAGACCCTGCACAGCTCGAGTCCCAGTTTCTCCTTCCGTGTTTACCATCCTCTCTGGCGGCAGCAGAGCAGAAAGAGCCACCTAGGGGTTGACCATTCCTCTGCCGGCCCTGCAGCTGTGGCTGTCCCAGCTCGGCGCTGGGCTGCTGTGACTACTCTTTCTCCGACAGGTGAATCCCCAGCTGCCAGATTAGCCTGGCTGGAAACCAGTCCTCTCCTGGCTTAGCTGCAGCTCTCTGGGTTAAAGCTGTGCCGCTTCTCTCCCTTTTATCCCCACCCTTCTCCCCACCTCTCTTCCATCCTCCCTCCCTTCCCTTTTTCCTAGTGTTATGTGGCTTATCCTTGCAGTCCCTGGGAAAATCTGATTTGGGAGTTCTTCCTGGCAGTGGCAGCATAGGTGAGATAGGGGATATGAGGAGCGTCACCAAGGCAGGCAGCGGAGGGGCAGGTTTATGGGGAGGAAAGCAATCCCAACCGGGACGCTGCCTGGGCTGTGCTGCCCCGCGTCCCCTGGCTGTGCATGCTGGGGCCAGCAGGCAGTCGTGGCTGCCCTTGCGGTACCTCTTTTGCAGGTCTGTGCTGCGAGTGTGGTGCCTTTGGATTTCTTCTGGCCCCTCTTTTTCCATCCTCAGTGGTGGTGTGTCTTCTTCCTAAAACAGGGAGATGTTGGGACTGGCAGTCCCTGTTCAGTGCCGGGCAAACCACAGACCCATCCTTGTCCCCAGGACGCTCCCTGGGTACTAATAGCCCAGCCAAAAAGGCAGGTGGCTGCAAATTTCTGCAAACAGCCCCTGTGCAGCTTTGGCAGAGTTCAGGTGTTCCTGTCTTTTTCTCAGCGCTGCTGTGCCTGGCATAGCTGGACTGCAGGACTGACCTTGGAGAAGGCATCCAGGAGGCTCACGTGTTTGGGGATCCGCTGCAGTGACATGACGCTGAGCTCTGAAATCAGGTTCTTGCTTCCTGCCTCTGACCAAAGCTACGGTGGAAAGGCAGAAGCAGCAGGTGAGAAAAACCCTCGTAACACATGCCCTAGCGTTTGCATGTCTTCCTCAGGCAGCGATTCCTGGATAACCAGGGAGGCATCCAGCAGGGACAGGGGCCCTGGCATGGCCAGAGTAGGGATTCACAGAGCCAGCCGAGGCAACGGTGGTAGCAATACGTAACACGGGCCCCGAGGTAGGTACCACGATATCTGCTCTTCCCTTGCCACCCAAAACCTGTCGGACACGTCAATGCTGCATGCGGCTGCAGCGTTTGGTTCCTCCGTTGCCCATGCAAAGAAGATAAAATATTGGCAGGTTCAAAGAGAAAAAGTAAAGGTAAGACTGGGATAGGAGCAGGAGATGAAAACCTTTGGGAAATTTGTACTGGGATGAAGGAGATCAGCAAGAGGAGGAGGAAATAACTGCAGCAAACAGCATGGAGAGGTGAAATCAGGAGCAGGGATGGCTCCTGCCGCATAGCACAGGCGAGGATGGGAGCAGCAACAAGGCTGGAACCCAGTTGCGGGGGAAGAAAAGTGAACAAAATGACAAACGTGTGGTGGCAGGAGCTGATGAACTGGGAAGGCCTGACCTTCCCGGGTTTCTGGCCAAAGGTCCCCTCTGAAGCCTGCCAGGCTTTGAGCGAGGTCTGCTGTCAACTTCAGTGGGCTTCAGATCAGCCATGGAGTCAGTAAATCGATGGAGAAAGGCAGGCTAGGGTGATAAATCCCCCCAAAAGCAACAAACCCATCAAGAGCTGAGGGGTTAAAACAGAGGGGGGTAGTTTCCAGGCAGCCCAAGTGAACATCTATTTGCTAACTTTGCAAAATCAGGAAAAACTCTTGTAAGGCAAGCATTTTTCAGAGCAGAGTGAGGACATATCAGCCCTTAGCAGAAAAATGATACATGTAAGGAATAGCATCTATGGTCAGGACAGTGTCTCCCTTTCCAGAAGAGGAGAATTTCCTGGTTTAGTTACCGGATTTCCCCCTTTTAGAAGCTCAGTCCCAAGAGCTGCTGCAACTCTACAGACAATATTCCTGGTCTGCTCCCAGCTCCTCTGGTGATGCCATGCTCCAACAGGGGTGATTTTATGGGATATCCCTGAATCAATAATATTCATAAGTCTTGGGGGGGGAAGAGGGGGGGTCAAAGCACCAAATGTCCCTTTCACTCAGACTATGCCTAGTAATTTAATTGTTAAATGAAAAAAAAAATCTAATCTTAAAAACTTTTTCATGATTGTGCCCTATCCTTTTTATTTTATTTACTGTAAACTTTGTCAAATTGAAGAACAAAGAGAGGAATTATTTTTCCCCTTTTAACGGCTGTTGCACAATACTGATTTTTTGGATTATGAACAATTTGGAGGAAGTCTGAATTCAAACACAAGTCTTTGGATTAGATTAGTGACATGGAAAAACAAAGGAGAGGCTCTTGTTGCTATGGAAAAAGTGACAACTTTACCTTAAGTTCAAGTGGACTTTGCAAAGAATGATTAGCATTTTTTTGCAGTTTGAACAAAGTAAATACGCAAACAATGATAACAGCTTTCGAATGTGACAAGCCCGAAACGGGGGGAAGAGGTGGAACAAGTCGCATAGTTCTTGTATGAAGGGATATACCAGACAGTCAATTGTAACCTGTGTGATTTACAGAGGAAGGGAACATTTCTGGAAGATCTCACTCATGGAGCTCAGAGTAACTATTTACATTGGGACAACATGTGCACTGGGCTGGGGACTAGACCACTATTTGGATTGTCGGTGTCTGAAGGTCTCACAGCCGCCTTTTTCTTTTTCTTTTCTTTTTTTTTTTTTGCCGGTTAAAGAAGATGGAATTAGAGGGAGAGAGAAAGAGACGGAAATTGCGATGAATAGGATTTATCGTAGGTCATGTGGGAGCACTATCATGTTGGTTAATAAGTTCTGTCACTTGTAATGATTGCATTTTTGCAGCAAGATCATTACAAGAGAATAAAAGGCTGTAAAAACATCTTTCCTTCAGGATCAGCTGCAGCAAATTCATGCTGAATTCTGTAACTGCCTGTTTTAGATGGCATAGCTAGGGCCCCGCGCAGCAAGTCGAGCCAGGACCAGGCAACTAGGGCTGCAAGAGACACAGGGCGAGAGCCTGTCACTCAGAAGCTCTGGGCACCTTCACTGTGGGCTCAAAAGCCCCATAGATTTATTCCTCAGTGCCTTCCCACCTGTTAAAACGTGGCATGGAGGCTGAATGCCTCATCTTGGGCCATAAATACCCTTCCCTCTCCTCTCTCCCTGCTTTCTTCTCCCCTTGGGCTTGTTCTGCCTTTCTCTCAGGTCTTGGATGCTTCTGATCCCACCTCGAAGCTCTCCTGGGAGCTGCCTGACTCGGTGTCTGGAAGCAGGTTCAAGGTTGGCACTTTTGCCTGCCGGGACTCTTGGTGGAAGCACTCAGCCTGGGATTGCTCCAGCCGCTCAACATCTTTGCGCAACTGCAGGACCAAAGCCTCCGTCTTCTGAATTTTCTCCTTCAGAAATTGAACCTCCTTTTAAAAAGGCAAGGAGAAAATGAAAAATCATCAAATATCAATGCCAAACACTCCAGGCCTGATCTCCCACAGCAGGTACCCAGGGAGGTCAGTGTAATTACCTGGGCAAAGAGATTGGACCTGACCTTTTCCCATCCAACTCTCGTTTAACCTTCTAAAATGTCTTGCTGTTAGACAGATCCATGTGTGACATACAAGGGAAGCCTGCATTTTGGGCCATCAAATTGGCTTCCACCTTCTCATGGTGCCTGCCTTTGCCCGTCTGTGGGTCTGCAGGATCAAACCCAACCGCCAGGGAATGGCAGGGATAAAAGGTGCCCTCAGTCCACAAGTGGACAAGCTGCAGGAGGGGGAAGGATGACGGGGTGTTTGCAGGGCCACGTTTCTGACAGCACCCAGCTCTTGGGGTCGTCCCTCAGTGCATAGCAGAGCCAGCTGCATCCCCGGCCTCTTCATCGTGGCATGTGGCTTTTGCTAAACCCAACTGGACTGGCCGTTTTGGGGAGAGGATTCCTCGCACAACCCTGGGCTGCGCTGGCTCTCTTGGCACCCTACCTGAGTGTAGATCTCCTTCTGAGTCCTCAGCTCGGCAGCCAGCAGCTCTACCTCTGCTCCCAGGCACTGGTGGTTTTTGTCTTGGCACTGGCACCTGTAAGACCTGCAGAAAGGTTGGCCTCTCCTCCTCCAGACCAATCCTGGAGATCACCCAGTATCCCCAGCACATCCTAGAGCTAGCAGTGACCGCCAAGAGCCCCCTGGTTGTGTTTGGTCAGTGGAAACCAAAAAGCTTAGGTTGACTGAGAGGACCTGCTTGCCCACTGCCACTGCCTGCTGGTTGCCACTTGCTGACCTCCGCAGCCCGCAGCCCGGACCTGCTGGTGACCAGGGGACTAGATGGACAACAAGGCCAAGTCAGCCCCATCATCTCCTTGCACATGGTGGTGTACCCTTCTGCCTGCCCACCTGGGAGGGCGCAGGGACCTCCCAGGGACATTTCTCCTTCCCTTACTCTCCCACCCTGCCTCTGCCAGGGCACACACAGGAGGCACAGTGCTGCTGGTGGGTCCCACCTCCTGCCTGGAGCAGCCACCGGAGGGGTCAGCACTTGGGAAAGCAGCAGGCCAGCGTCTTAGCTGGTGCAGACTGCCGCAGGGGGTTGATTGCTTTCTTTTAATGCACACTGTGGCTGTTCCCTGCTGCATACGGTTTATTCACGTTCTGGATCATGGCGCTTGCATGATCCTTCCCGTCCCTGGCGCCTCTGCCGCAGCCTCGTTTGTGGGCTGATTCATGGGCGAGCAGCAGCATGGAGCTCTCGCTCCCTGCCCGAGCTTGCGCTGCTGCCCTGGGACTTTCCCGGAAAGCTTTCACCTTCCTGGCTTGACCTTCTCCAGGCCCTGCAGGTGCTCAGCACCCTGGAGATGTCCATCTATCTACATGTTCTCCTTGCACCCGCTTTCTGGCCTTACCCTCGGTGTGGCGTGGCTGCCCCGTGGGCGTCCTTGTGCTGCAGCAGCAAGCGCAGGGCGCGGACGTCCTCCTCCGGCTTCAATGCCTCCGCCTGTTTGTGGGGCATGCTGCGAAGGGAGTGGAGAGGTTTGGGTGAGCGGGCGAGCACCTGTTTGCGCTCCGAGGGTATGAATGATGTTGGCGGTGAGGAGCAGCAGATAGAAAAGAAATACAGCTAGAAAGCAGGAGAGAAACGCACACGAGGGAGCATGAGGATATCTCCAGAGCGTAAGCGCAAAGGTCTCCCAGGCCCTGCATCGTCTCCAATTGCAGCTGGCAGCAGACGTGTAGGGAAGAACGATTAGCGTGTAGGAGCAGGCCAAGCGACATCTCTTTGCGTGGCCCCTTCTCTGTGCGTATGTACCTCTTGCGCAGGGCACGCGTGTAGTGAAACCTACGCAAAACACTCCCCCAGGCCACAGCAATCTGCAGGTCAGGGACTTCCCAGCTTTGAGTTTAATATACACCAGTTATGGCTTGATTTTTCTCCGTGAATTCTCCCAGTTGTTCGTTGAGGTTGCGTGTGGGGTTTTTTTGAGCCCATGTAGCACTTTTAGCAGCTGCAACACCCCGTGGCGGGGAGTACCCCAGGTTAACTCCACTGTCATACGAAGGAATCTCTGCCTGTGCTTGTTTCAAACCTGCGGCCTGCTATTTTCAGTCCAATTTCCCCTTGCATTTGACCCGGAGGAGATGTTCGGGTTGCCGTGGTGGAAACACCCTCGAGCGTCCCAGTGCTGTGCTGGCCTGGCAGCACTCAGAGCCAGCGGCAGCCTCATGGGTGCTTCCCCCTCTTTCCTCTCACTGCTGCCCGCTCTGGGTGGTCCCCATTTTTTTTAATGAAAGTCCGTAATAACAAGAGTCACAAGAGGGCAACGCGCTTGTTTTCCAAGCAACATTGCAAAAAGAGAGTCTGCGATTGCTCCTGTTTCCCCTTTCCCCCGTGCTGCCGTACTTTGCTTCTCCCACTCCGGGGCTTCCCGGGAAGAGCTTTCTCCTGTGCCAGGTCTCGGACCGGCAGCGCGCCACGGCCATGCCGGGGGCCGCAGGACCTATTAGGCTGTGGAAAGTCAAGCGCTGGCTGCAGCCCTTCAGAGCCAGAGCTCTTGGACCCCGTGGGAATAATCCTGGAGGTTTTCCCCTCAGCTGGGAAATTCGGCTTCTCGCGCTCCAGCTGCGGCAAACCCGGCTTGGAGGCACCTGGGGCTGCAGTAACATCCCCTGCGTACGTGCAAGCCTCATGTCCGGCATCATCGTCACCCGCCGGGACCGGCCGGGGCAGCTGGTGCGCTATTCCGGGCTCGGCACAGCCCCGCGCCGCCTCCGTCCCTCCCGCCCGTGCCACCGCCAGCGATCGGGGCGTCCTGCGATTTCTTCGGCTCCGAAGGCTCCGGGCCCTTTGCCCCTCGCTCACCAGCTGCCTCCCTCTGGCAGATTGTGACACCCGACCGTTGCCGTGGAAAAAGCAGAATCTGGCGTGAATTAACATCAGTGCTGGTGACACCGTGGAAAGCGTGAGTAAGACGAATGCGGTGTCTTTGCTTCTCCTGTGCTATGGTGTTGGTGCAAAAGCGAGTTCATCCAGATCACTTTGGTTTAGGGGCTCTTATATCCCTCTAACACTGCAGGCTGCGGCGGGTTTTGATAAGGATGATGCTGAAATGGAGCATGGAGCAGGCTCTGGAGGGCTAAACTCTGCTGTTTGATGGTGAGCAACAGGAGCTGCAAAACTGGACTTGTGTAATTAAAGGTTGCTTCTTGCCTTAGGCTTCGGCTGACCCCAGAGACACCGTCATTAAAAAGATAGGGGACTATCAGGCCACAACGAGGCTGCCCGTGTCTGGTGATCCCCGGACGCCTGTGTCTCTTGGCGATCCCCGACATCCCTGCGCAGCGGGTCCTGCCTGCATCCAGCCCTGGCGCTATTCGCGTTGCAGTCTTTGGTCAACGAAACCTCTCTCCCACAAGCGCTTCTCCAGCAGAGATGAAGTTTTAGGGAGATGTGTTAAGGCAGCCAGCTCCGTGGCGAAGTTGGCGAGACAGGTGAGTCGCTGCTTGGCACCAGCTTGCCTGGCGTCGCCTCCGGCCTGAAAAGGCTGCGCTCCGCTCCCCAAGCGCTGCCAAAAGGCCAGGCAAAAAGAGCCGTTTCCTGGCTGTTGGGCCTCGGCTTTCACCACATGAGGAGTGCAGCGCTGATTTTCAACGGTAGAAGGATCACCACTCCCAACCAGGTAATTCTGCTTGCTTTTCACCCTCTCAAACGCAAAATTTGCCAAAAAATGCAAAAAGCGCCACGGAGCCGATCTGACAGGGCTGGGTATGGTGTCAGAAGAAATAAATAGCGACTTTCTCTTCTGCGGTTTCTGTAAAGCTCTGATTAGGCAGGGTAGGGAGGGTGCTTTGTTTCTGCCTTTTCCACATCGTCTTATTTTTCGGGGCAGAAGCCTCCCCCCAGGCACCCTCGTTGCAGCGGGGCTCTCTGCAGCGCTGCACACAGGCTGTCGAAGCCTTGCACCGCTGCAAAGCCGACAGCAGCCGTAGGCGTGCGCCTGCCCTGCCGACAGTGCCTGCGTTCACTTTTGGCAATCCCAGCTGTAGCCAGGCTGCCTGTGCTTTTCACTCCCTTTTGAATGCTTGGCTTTAATGAGAGATCCAAATATTCATCTCTTCCTCACCTGGAAACGTGTATGGCAGTGAGCAGCATCTCACCCTGCTCCCCAGCCTCGTCCTGCAGGGATCCTGCGGAGGGACCGATCCGGAGGAAGGGCAGGGCGGCTGCACTGCCGCCGGGTGCAACGCCACGTGCCGCGGCGACACCTCCCACGTGGCAGCAGGCAGCCCTGCGAAGAGGCGGCTCGAGCAGCTTGTACCGGTCTCGCGCTTTGCTTTTACTCTCCAAAAAGGCAAAGTGATTTTTTTTTTTTCCTTGAAGCTAGCTGTCTCGTAGCAAAGCCCTAGTGGAAACCCAGCAGCTCGAGCGCTTGCTGCAGTACAAACGCACGGGGTTGGCACTGCGTCCCCTGCCTCGCTGAGCCCAGGCTCATCTGCAGCAAAATCACAGCGCCTCGTCTCCATGCGAGCTTTGCAGCGGGGTAACTGCAGCTGTTCGGTTATTGGTTTCTTCGTTTCCATCTCTTTGATGGTGTGCCACCGCTAATCTGATCTCAGAGAGGCAGGATAAGGCATCAGCAATGAAATTGCAATCTGCTGTGCCTCTCTATGAGGAGACGGGCTCGTTTCCTAACCTTGTCTCCAGCCTGGCAGTTTTCTAAGGAAATCTTCCATCGCTTTGAGAGCACCGGAAAAATTATCCTGAGACTAACGCTGGGGCTATCAACAGTAGTGCAAGGCTAAATGCCCCCGGTGTAAAGGGAAGTGCCCAGATCTGGGCCACATCACTGTTCGTTGTTCATCTTTCTTGAAATGCACGGCCAAAAGGATACAGCATGTTCTCCGAAAGGCCGTACCAGCGCTAAACAGAGAGCTCTGCGAGCAGACCCAGTTTTACGCGCTCCAGCGTGGCACTATTAACTCGTATCATCTGTTACGATCGAGAGAAGCTTTTCTTTCTCAACAGCTACTCTCCATCCTCTATTTCTCTAACCAGTTATTTCAGCGAAAGCATCGTGCCTTGCATTTAGCTCTATTCAGTTATGTCCTGATTTTTTTCTTTTCTTTTCTTTTCCAGATCATTTCTCCAATTTGTCGAGACCGTTTTGAGGCGTAATCCCCTTCTCAGGTACGCTTACAATCCCTCCAGTTTGCTGTCGTCTCCAAACTTAATACTTGCTGTCATATTGCTCAAACCAGTAACGGTTTTGGACCCTGGGCCGTGGAGCCTTGTTCAGGGTCTCTCTCTGTTTCGACGTGAGTCACTGGTAAATAGTCTCTGCGCTTGAAAGGTTTGACATGACTTATCCCTGACAAAGCTGTCGTGGTGATTACAGGTCAGGGGAGAGTCTGTGCTTGTTCATAGAAAACACTGTTGCGTAAGCTGCTCCGTGGGTCAGTCTGATGTATGAGACAGCGACTTACCTGATGTTCAGCGGGGGCATTTTCCCCATTTTCTGAGATACCGATTTATACGTGGGGATCTCGGCACGAGCAGCAAAGACACTGTCCAACGGCTGGGGTCAGCTCTGCTCATCTGCTTGCTCTGGAGATCAAGGTATAGGTGGCTTGATCGAAATTGCACGGCAAATTAAGTTGGGGCTAGGCCCAACCTTGTGTCCCCATTGCAGCCACCAAATATTTGGAGGATTTCCAGCGGGAATGGCGAGCGTTAGCTCCCTACCCTACCCTTCCCCTCCTGTTTGCTTGCTTTGCAGCAGAAAGCCGCTGTTACAGGTGCCCCCCCTCCAGGCGCCTGTCCCCCACTCACCGTCATTTCTGCCTGCTGCTGTCTCCACTTCACCCTGGACACAGCGATGCTGGGGACCGGCTGCGGTTCTGAGCCAGATGCCCAAAATCCTGGAGGGCTTTTCCTCTCTAGGAGCGAGCACTTGCTCTTCGCTCCAGGATATTTACAGGTGTTTCTATGCTGGTATAAGTAAATTAGATGATATAAAATCAGCTAAGACCTGTATTGACATTCCCATTTGGAATGTAATGGACTAATGTTCCCTTTAGTTTAGCTAAGGATTTTGAAGGAATTATACATTAACCTGAACAAATAGAGTATTCATTTCAAATGAGAGCGTATACAAAAAGATTTCATGTGGCTCAACTAACCCAGTCTAAGTTTGCCCTCTTGATGATTTTGAATTAATTTTCCAAAGGTGTGCACCATATCTTTATTAGCATAAATATCAGTTGGACATGAGGCAGTTGTTTAAAAAGCGAAATGTTTTAGTCTTTTAAGGAGTGCAAGCCTTGATATAAACCCATCTTTTAAGTGCCGTGTATCAGGACCCTTTTCCTCTTGCATATATACATATACACACACACACACACATATATATATATATGTATATAATTAGTTCAAACAGCCGTGGCCCATCTTCAAAGTGTCCCTGCTTCCCAGCTCCAGCACCTGTCACTGCAGCTAACACATTTTTAAACGTAACTGCGGCTGTTCGCTAGGTGCTAAATGGCCTTTAAGAGCACCTTTAACAGAGTGTCTCAATAGACATGGCGAGGGTGAGAAGGGGAACAGGAGCTATTAGTACCCGTGTTTTGCCGGATAAATGAGTACAGGGAGGTGGAAAAGCCTGGGTCGCAGGCTACGTCGCTGCGACATAAGGAAACCTATGGGTGGCTGAGTCAGGCCGTGAACAACTTGCCCAAGATCACGCGAGAAATCAGTTGTGGAGCCAGGAGCCAAACCTTGCTTTTCTGAGCGCAATTCAGCAGTTTGCAGCCGTGCAGGCAGAGATGCACTTACAGACGCACAGGAGCGAGCCCAGCAAAGGCTCACCCTGCGAAAGGCAGACCCACGAGCTTTGAGTAGGAGCCGAGTTAGGAGTTATTTAAAAATGTTTACCGTGCGAGCCCTGGGCTGCCCTCCGGTGGGGGTGCTGGGATTGAAAGGCAGAGAAAAGGGTTTGTTGACCTGGTGTTAACCTTCGGCTGCCAGCCTTTCGGCTCCCCGGGCCCCACCGCCTGCGCCGCCTAATTAACATTTGGCTTGAGCAGGATTTCATCCCGCTTTGTGAGCGCGGCAACTCGAGTCTCAATAGCCCTTTCGTTCCCCGTCCCCCTCCTCCGGGCGGCTGCCACAGCACGGTCTCGGTTGTCTTGGTGCCGTAGCGTCGGGAGCTTGCTATGGCTTTCGCCAGGAGCACGTCGTCATTTCTGGGCTTTGTGAGAAGGGGAAAGGACCTCTGAGGCTACATGATCCACCAAAATAAGGTGGTTGCCACAGGCTGTGTCTGAGCGCACACGCAGCCCGAGGGGTGCACGTGTGGATTTACCGGGCCTTGGACTCTGCGGTGCAAGACCTGCAGCTCTCGCCAACGTCTTGCCAGCATTGCAAGAGGCCATGAAAGGCCGGTGAGCGCATCGGACTGGCTGCAGTGGCCCCTGGTAGCCCAGAGGATGAGAGCAATTCCCAGTGACGGGACCAAAGGGAGCCTATGGACACCTCTGGCTCAGCTCTCACTTACACCTGCTCAAGAGTGCTCCAGGACTGCCGAAAGCTGCGTTTGGGCCAATCCACAGAGCTGATTCACTTCATTAAACATCATAACCCTGTGGCTGCCTGAGCTAGCAAGCGTTCCCCATGATTCAGCATATATGCAGCTGGCAGGGGCACTCGTTGCCCCAGGGCACTGACATGGGGCTGGCAAGCATCTTCTCTTCCCAACTGGAAGTTCAGATCTGTCCAGCACCCAGACAAAAGCATATTCCCATCTGAGGAGTGGTCTGAAGCCAGGGAGGTCCCGGCAGCTGAGCGCCCAGCAGGTAGGGGATTGTTTTCCCCCCGTCTAGCATGAACGGTGGGTTTTTGCTTGCCGAGAAACAGGGCCGTGGACTGAATAGGGTCATGTGAACCTAGAGATGGCACTTCAGTGGATGCTCCTTTGTAGGTTTGGTGGGACGCTCTGTTTCTAGTGAGCATAATAAATTACCTTCTAGCAAGAAGTCTGTTGAGATTGCAGCTCGATGTTTTTGATGTGGGCGTAACAGCTTAGGACGTTCATTCTGTGAAAGCTAACGCCTGAGAAAAAGTTAAGAACTAGGCAAGGAAAATGGTGCTTCTTCAGAATATTTCCCAGCCTCCAGCAACCTGCAGACCTAGGGACATCTCGAGCTGGACTTGATGTCTTTGTACAGAGTAGCGCTAGGTGGATTTTTCTCCTATTATTTTGTGCAGCTGCTTGTTGAACCCATGCCATCTCTTCCAGTTTCGAGGTCCCCTTGGGCAGGAGCGTGACCCTTGCTTTCCCCTCGTCATTCTCTAGTCTCTGTATTTAGTAACCCCGATGCATTTTTTCCATGAACTTGTCCAGTCTTGCCTTGAACCCCTGTAAATGTTTTCAAACAAGAGCTTCCTGTGGCAAGGAGTACCCCACGTCGGCTCTCTGCCGTGGGGAGAGCCGTGTCCTTCTGCTCGCCTTGGACTTGGCCTCCCTAGTTCTTGCACTGGAAAGAAAGAAAGAGATAGAGGGGCTGATGGGTGTCAGCCGTCTCCGGTGCCACACATGGCTTTGTAGACCTCTGCCATAACCTCTTAAGCCATGCCTTTTCCAGACCGCGCAGTCCTGGCCTACACAAGTCGTTGCTTGTAGGGAAGCTCTTCCAGGCCTTTGATCCTCCTCAGTCCCCTTCTCTAAACCTTTCTGTCTGATTATATCTTAGCTTTGAAGCTACCTTTTGGGGCCCGGGTCACGGAGGTTGCTCAAAGAGGATATCTGCCTCACGGCTCTCGCTCTGTCCAAATCCCATCCGTTTCTTGGCTGCAGGCTGTGCCAGCTCCTGTGTTCCTGTTTGCTTAAGTAATTGGCACCACATACCATGCATAAGCAGCTTGTGATTATTCTTCTTATTATTTTTGCATCCAAGACTCTTTCTCCTCTGAAGGGAAGAGTCGATGTTTGGGCGTTTTTATGAGTGAGCTGTGTGTTTGGCTATCTCCTGACTGCAAAGCCGTTCTCCTGACGTTAAACAGACACTGCCCTCCTGTAAGGAGCCCGTGGCATAGATGGGCTTGGAGGTATTGTCCAAGAGCTGAAGGGAACACGGTTAGTGCTGTCACAGGTCCTTTCCTGTGATTTTATCCCGAGCAAAACGTGTTTAAAAGATAAAGTAGAAAAGCAAAGCAAGCAAGCAAACCTCATTGTGATCAATTCTTCCCTGATTCGTTTGGCTGAATTAGTGACAGGCACAAGCTGTAATTTCAGACTCCTTTGAAGTGCGAAGACATTCAGCCTACGACAGAAGCGGGAACCACCTGCACAGTTTGGGTCCTGAGGTGAACTTTGCTAGAGGTGAGGTTGTAATCTGAATCTGTCCTGAGGAACAATAACTTTTTATTAAAAAGAAAACAAAACAAAAAACAGTTTTGTTACAATTTTACCTTCCTCTTGGCCCCACTGTGAATCTGCTCTCCCTGCTCCGTCCTAATCTTTTCTTTGGCAGCTAAAACTATTATCTTTATTGTTCCAGGGTTTGGCTTCTTCCTGTTAAATCTCCTAATTGGATTTTTACCCCCCCCCCAATCTATTTAGTTTCTCCTGTGTGTGCACTAAACCCTTTAAGCCTTCAGCACCTTGCCACCTCTGCCGTGCTGTCCGCTTGCCCTCCCTTCTCCCCGTGCTGCTCTGCTTTATATCCCTCTCTCAGCAGCATCGCTCGTTCCCCCCCTCCACGAATAGCTGAGCTGGTGTTTGGCGACTTTAGTGTAACTCCTCTTTCTAGTTTGCGTGGCCAAGGCTTTCCTAAGCAACGGCTGCCGTCTCTAATCTCACCGTCAGTCAATAGCGAGTGTGTCATGAGTCTCCTTCGCTATCTGTAGGGCACAAAGATTCATTTGGGTTTTAGACCAGAATAAGCAAAATGGCCCACAGCGCTCTTAAAAGGAGGTTAGCAGGGGATCCCGGCTTGTGGCGAGGGACTGGGAGAGCCCAGGTGCTTTATTCTGGTCCCCTCGCGGAGACCTCGGGCTGATCTAGAAGGAGTTTTCTCTTTTTTCCCTGCCCTGGGAGGGGGGAGTGAGGGGACACCAGCCTGAAATCACTTCTGAATGAGCCGTGTCTGGCTAGACCAAGGTTTTCAAGGGAACCCAGTGATTTGGAGTGTCATAATTGTAGGCATCCTTTAAAAAGCTTTTTTTTTTTTTTTTCCCCATTTTGGAAAGAGGGTATCTGAGCGGGGCAGTCAAGGGCAGAGGCAATCTGAAGTCCTAGCCGTGAGCAGCGAAAGGCAGCTCCTTCGTCCACCGTCATCTCCTACAATGGAGGGGAGGGACAAATCCCTCAGGATCAGGCGTTGGTCCATGTTTCTTGCTGTGTCTTAAGAGTATCAGCAGCCACAAGAGGTGGGACATGGTAGTCAAGTTCCTTGCTCTCTACGGCCTGCAGGTGTGCGCCAAGTCCTTCGAGTGCTGGCCAGCCGCAACGGGAAGCCGTGACGGGAGCTCGAACGGAGGGGCTTTGGGTGTCCTGTCCCTGGAGGAAGAGGGGCCTGAGTTTTGTAGCCCTAGCTGCAAAACTGACCTCCCGGGAAGGGGATGGAGCTGAGACAACGTCTTGGTGCAGTTGGCTTGGTTTTCCCGTCAGCCCCCGTGGGGATGCAGCGCCGTGACGTCCAGGCAGCCGGGATCCCGGCTGGTGACGCGGCATCGTCGTAACATAGGGCACTGTAAAGCAAACTCCCCTCCAGGCGTCAACTGAGGCAGGAGCGTTTGTACCCGTGTCGGGCCGGGGCGGGCCGAGATGCGAGTGTAAAAGAGGGAGAAAGTAGGAGAATCGACGGGCTCAGGTCCCGGCGCCCGGCTCTTGACCAGCCTTGCTGGACCCAGTTCCTCTCCTCCTTTTGTGCTTTTCCAGTCATTTTATGGCCTCGGGGCATCCGCGTTTGTAACGCAGGAGCGCGTTGCCGTGGTTAAAGCTGCTGTTCCCAGCAGGGTTTGTCTCTTACCTGCGAGACGGATAGATACGGACTTACGGATGCGCGGGAACGTGTGTCTTTGCCCTCGTTCCCGGTTCCCACCACGCACACGCGGTTGCCCTGGCAAAAGAAAAACGCTGGGGGAAGGCAAGGCCTTCGGGGGCCTGGGGAGAGAGGGGCAGTGCTGCCGTGGGGGAGCTTGAAGATGAAATGGGCTAGCCAGAAGTATGCGGCAGAAGGGCTGATCATACCTGCCTGGCACGCCAGCCAGGGATGAAGTTAGGGTTGGTATTTTTAGGCTGGCACTTGGGAGCTGTCGGTACCTATCGGCTGATTCAGGATAATGGCTCTCCCAGAAAGACTGACAACGTTGCCGAGTTTTGTGGCTAATGTTATTACGCAAGCCTGAAATTAAGAATCAAATCAGTACCGCCGGGGCCCTTGTCCAGCCCTCGAGGGAGGCCAGGCCCTCCAGTTATGGTGGGTTTGTTCGTCTCCCTCGCTCTCCCCCCAGCGCTCATGGCCGTTTAGCTGGGGATTTGGGGCAGCTCCCAGAGAAGCGACGACCTCAAGGGAAACGGCGCCGTGTTGCTGCATCCGGACGCGGCGTTATCTCGGGGCGACGCCGAACCGGTGCACGTCGGCAGGCTGGGCGGGGACGTCATCGCTACCAACGGCCAGAGCGGATCTGGAAAAGCAAGAAGGGGGGAGTACCGGCTGCGTTGCTGCGCCGCCGTAACGCCCCGCCGGCCGCGGCTTTCCTCTGCGCCAACGCACCAGCCGGTTTTAAGAAAGAGAAAGCCCAAACGGCGCGGCGCGCAGCACTGCCAAGGTTTATGACTTTATGGGGAGCCTCCCAGGCTTTTCCTTGTAACCCGCCGCTCCTGGACCCGTGAGGTGTGGTTTTTTTCATCTAAATGAAAGTTCAGGATAAGCATCCGTCCCTTGCGGTTAGGGGAGGTGCGACCTGGACGGACCTGGGAGCTCAGAGTCCTCCGGGCGAATGGGACGAACGGGGCAGTCGGCTTTGTTTATTTTTGAACACTCATGGTTTCAGAGCCAATTTTGGAAGTTGAGCAAGCGCTTGGAGCTGCTGGCACCGCTCGTCGATAACTGACCTGTGGGACGAACGGGGCAGTCGGCTTTGTTTATTTTTGAACACTCATGGTTTCAGAGCCAATTTTGGAAGTTGAGCAAGCGCTTGGAGCTGCTGGCACCGCTCGTCGATAACTGACCTGTCTGTGCTACCGTTTTATGGGACAAACGCCGCCGGAGGCTCCCTGGCAGCACGGGCTTTTTTCGCAGCAGGCTCACGTTTTATGGCCGCCCTCGCCACGGCCCGGCGAGCGACGCCAGATCCGAGCCTG